CCTCCTTGCACAAAGGCGGAGGTAGCGGTTCTGCTGCTGGGTTGTTGCCCTCCTACGGCCTCCTCCACGTCTCCTGATGTACTGGCCTGTCTCCTGGTAGCGCCTCCATGCTCTGGACACTACGCTGACAGACACAGCAAACCTTCTTGCCACAGCTCGCATTGATGTGCCATCCTGGATGAGCTGAGCCACTTGTGTGGGTTGTAGACTCCGTCTCATGCTACCACTAGAGTGAAAGCACCGCCAGCATTCAAAAGTGACCAAAACATCAGCCAGGAAGCATAGGAACTGAGAAGTGGTCTGTGGTCACCACCTGCAGAACCATTTCTTTATTGGGGGTGTCTTGCTAATTGCCTATAATTTCCACCTGTTGTCTATTCCATTTGCACAACAGCATGTGAAATTTATTGTCAATCAGTGTTGCTTCCTAAGTGGACAGTTTGATTTCACAGAAGTGTGATTGACTTGGAGTTACATTGTGTTGTTTAAGTGTTCCCTTTATTTTTTTGAGCAGTGTATATATATATATATATAAAAAATGAAAGTATGTGGACACCCCTTCAAATTAGGATTCGGCTATTTCAACCACACAACCAGGTGTATAAATTCATGCACACAGTGATGCAATCTCCATAGACAAACATTGGCAGTAGAATGGCATTACTGAAGAGCTCAGTGACTTTCAACATGGCACCGTCATAGGATGCCACCTTTCTAACAAGTCGGTTCATCAAATTTCTGCCCTGCTAGAGCTGCCCCGGTCAACTGTAAGTGCGGTTATTGTGAAGTGGAAACGTCTAGGAGCAACAACGGCTCAGCCGCGAAGTGGTAGGCCACACAAGCTCACAGAACGGGACCGCCGAGTGCTGAAGTGCGTAGCGCCTAAAAAAAACCACCAGCACAAGAACTGTTCGTCGGGAGCTCAAGAAACGGGTTTCCATGGCCAAGCAGCCGCACACAAGCCTAAGATCACCATGCACAATGCGAAGTGTCGGCTGGAGTGGTGTAAAGCTCGCCGCCATTGGACTGTGGAAACACGTTCTCTGGAGTGATGAATCACGCTTCACCATCTGGCAGTCCGACGGACAAATCTGGGTTTGGAGGATGCCAGGAGAACGCTACCTGCCCAAATGCATAGTGCCAACTGTAAAGTTTGGTGGAGGAGGAATATTGGTATGGGGCTGTTTTCCATGGTTCAGGCTAGGCCCCTTAGTTCCAGTGAAGGGAAACCTTAACGCTACAGTATACAATGACATTTTAGACGATTCTGTGCTTCCAACTTTGTGGCAACAGTTTGGGGAAGGCCCTTTCCTGTTTCAGCATGACAATGCCCCCGTGCACAAAGCGAGGTCCATACAGAAATGGTTTGTCGAGATCGGTGTGGAAGAACTTGACTGGCCTGCACAGAGCCCTGACCTCAACCCCATTGAACAAATTGGAACACCGACTGCGAGTCAGGCCTAATTGCCCAACATCTGTGCCCGACCTCACTAATGCTTGTGGCTGAATGGAAGCAAGTCCCCGCAGCGATGTTCCAACATCTAGTGGAAAGCCTTCCCAGAAGAGACGAGGCTGTTATAGCAGCAAAGGGGGGACCAACTCCATATTAATGCCCATGATTTTGTAATGAGATGTTTGACGAGCAGGTATCCACATACACTACATGACCAAAAGTATAACCCTTCCACAACCACAAGATCCACTAATAATGTAATTATTTTATCAAAATAGTTTAACCTGCTTTTTTTGCAATAATCACTGATCTGGCTTTTAAGTCTGTATGAAAATGCCCTAAAAACCATGCATAATGCACATTCACTAATAACGACTAACTTCTTGTAGCAGGCGTAATAGAAAATTAACACAGGTCTCAAACAATCTCTCAAGCACAAGCCCACGTGCTAGTGAGTAGCCAGCTAATCTTTATATTTCAAGTTTAGCCAACTTGGATCTATATGCTAGCTAACAAGAGAGGAAACAGTTTAATTGTTATGAACACACCCTTCTGTCTGTCTCCAGCTGTTTGAACAGCATGCTAGCCTGTCCACTTTGTTCAGATGTTGAAATCAAGTGGCCTACCTTATTTCTCAGAATGAGAACAAGTTGCCAATTCCTTGTATAATTGTGTTTCATGCTTATTGCACATTTATAAAACACAGACTCATATAACGGTCTTTGGCTAAAATGTTGCTTGTGGTAACCTATGTGGTACTGCAATGCACAGCACAGAAGGAGTGAAGGAGACTAGAAGAAAAAGACATGAGAACAAGCAGACAAACGCTCATAAAGACCCCACCAAAAAAAAGTGATTATTGCGATACAGGAATTTGGGAATGTCGCACAAAAACATACAATCAAATTAATTAAATATATCGCCCAGCCCTACCTCCTGGTCTTCTCAACCTCAGGGGGGACAGAACATAAATACAAATCCCAAACAAATATAATATTTGACAAACACATTATCATTTCAAACCTTGCTTACATTTATATACGATCACGTGTCTCTATTGTGTGGGAATACTTCGGAACAGATTTCCAAAATTAAAATAACTGGTGTTTTTACAGTCTTATGTCCAACAATGAAAATGTAAAAACATTTTACTTTTGTTTTGCTCAGAAAACTTGGGGGCCAAATAAAACCACCCATGGGCCGCCAGTTGGGGAAACCTGATTTATATAGACTAGAATGTGACAGTTAAGGTAGTTGGAACAGGTTCATCGCCTGTGGTTATGGGAGGAGCGGAAGGGCAGTGTGTGTGTACGTACTGTGCAGGTGTTTTCTTTTTAGGGGGAAGCTAGCAACAGGTGCAGTGAGCCAGCCCAGGGGTGCCCTAGGCTGTGGGTGTGACATTACTTTCTGGTTCAAAGCAGAGTGAGAGGAACAAAGCTACAGGTCCCAACTGACTGAGTCAACAAGAGCTATGAGTATAGAGTGTCTGTCTCTCTGTCTGATGTCATCTCGCCCACTGGGCCCATAATGGGCTGTGAAACACACTTGGAGTCTTTACACAACACACACCCTCTCATTAACTAATTCAAGGTCATTAACACACACGCTAAAATAGTGGGTAGCCTCTGACCATTACATTGCATATTACCATTTAGGACAGTACGACTCACGTCACTAAGTGCTAGTATTGCATAAAGTTTACTTGTCACTTGGTACACCTAAACAAATAACACAATGTGACCACTATCTTTTAGCCAAACATACCACTCCTTCTCTAGGCTACATCTGATTTACAAATAAATATTGTGCAACAGCCTGGTGACATCATGGTGGTGTGTGAGGTGAGGACAGCCACACAGGGTCCTGACCTGAAGTAGGTGTCGACTCCACATCTAGGCTAGAGGACAAACCTGGAGTGTATTCATTATGTCTTGCAATGGAAACCGTTTACAGGTTAAGAACCAAGCGGAAGTAAACAGAGCAAACAGAACGAAACGGGGAGGGACCTACCTGAATTTGTCCAACAGAAACTCCCGTTTCCGTTACAAAACGTTCTCCATTTAGAGTGAACGGTTTCATTTTAAAAACAGATTAAACGTTTTGCAACAAAATCGGTGTAATGAATACACCCCTGCTATACTGTGGCCATGAAGCAGCTTGTCCCAGGCACTGGGAGAGGCACAGCAGTGACAAAGTGACAGCACACACTGCTGTACAGCACCTCACAACAGCAGCTGAAGCCAGCCCATTTCCAAATCATAGTCTCCTTAAGGGTGGTGTCTGTTTTCATGGCTCACTTTAATTTGCCTTCTGAGGCTACAGTAAAGAATGGAAGTCTAGGCATCCCCTCCTCCAGCCCACTGCCCTGAGCCAAGACCCCATATCAACACTGGGCAGAGCCTAAAATTCCGCTAAATATATTTGCATTCACAAACGGTGCTTCTATACTCACTTCTTGGCTCATATTAAAAGGAGAGAAATATAGGCCCGAAAAATCAACTAGGCCTATTAACTTTCTTCTGATACCATGTAATCAGAGAGTGCTAAGTAAAGTCCTCATAACACCTCAGCTGTGGGTCAGTGTATCCTATCATCTCAGATCGTCACTGTGGAGGAGAAACAGACCAGGATTGTTATCTTCTCCAGAACTCTCACTCCACATTCCAACACGGAATATTGACAATTCCAGGAAAGGGGAAGAGAGTGATGTACCGTACCACCTCGTACCAGGAGGGGGTAGAGAGAGGGGGCGGAGAGATGGGAAGTATGATGGTGGAGAGAGAGAGAAAGGGGGATATATGAAAGCCTTTAGTCCATTTAAGATCATGGCATTTACAATAAGTGTTACAGAAGTACACTTATCAGCTTTCAAACGCTTCCAAAATTAAAGTGGAGTCCTTTCAGCTATTCTATCTGTTCAAAAGTTTACCATGACCTTCAACTTGGCAGTGTAGATAAATGGAAGCAATGGTAGCACAGTTAATATATAAAACAGCAAGGCAAACTTACTCTATATGTAAACTCTTCTACTCCCATATGGGCAACATTCTGGCATTGTTACTTAGATAAATAGAATGCTTTCTCTGGCTAGTCAACCATGACTTTGACTGGACAAACAAATGCCCCTCTGGTTGAAAAGGTCAGACAGAGCCGTTGCTAAATTCTAGCCAGTAAGAAGGAGTAATAGGTAATTCTGAATCAAACAGTATCTTTTTTCTGCCTACTATAATTGTTTTTCTTCCTGGGGTAGCATGGTAGGAGTGCTTGTAATATATGATATACATGTACTAATAAAATCTTTCTTGGGGGTGCTAGGCTATTCTTGAGGGGGCTTCAGCACCATCTTGCCCCTCCCTGGAGCCGCGCATGCTGCCAGGAGTAGCCTACCAGACGAGAAGGGTTTGCACCTTTGGGACTATTCCATTTGGATCCATTGCAGAAAACATAACCTACTACTCCATTTGAACCGAGGTCTGTTCTGAAGAGAGGAGAGCAGTAGGAGCACGCAGGGGTTAAATTAGGCCTAACAGTTCCTCTGTAGGGTAACCTAGCTGAGGCGGACAGCAGGGCCGGGGGCCGGTGGGGGACAGCGATTCCCCTCACAGTGAGTGAGCGACAGATTGAGAATTCCTGGGGGACACAAACAGGTCAGAGAGAACACTGAGGTACTGTGTGTTCCTGGCCAGGGTCCAGGGCCCAGTCCCTCCCGGAGCAGGCCCTGCAGACATGCTGAACAGTCCTCACCTCAGCTCACTACTGTGTGTGTGTTTCAAATAAAATGTGAAAGTAGGAGGTTATGAGCTTCCTCACACAAGAAACAAGTAGGCTAAATTACATGATACAGCCTAGCTCTTTGTTCGCAGAAGATCTACTGTACCTATGAGGTGATGCCATTACATCAGCTACATAGGAGAGAATAGCTGGACACTGGACACACACACTTCCAGGAAGTTCCTCAGATCAGCGCTGCTAGCTAGGTAACATGACTCGACAGGGGGACAGCATTAGCACTTTAATTCTCCCTCTCCCTGGCTATCACTGAAACCGATACAGAGTCAGAGAGAGCCAAGCAGCTAGGCTAATCTACAAATGTAGCCTATAAGCCAAGGAGTCCAGTCCAGGCAGTAGGCCTACTAGCCAACTCCATTTTCGACCTGCTGTTGCTGGGCATAGTTGACCAGAATGACCACATTGCATATGTCCCTAAATGTCTAAATTTGTGAAAGTTCGCAAGACATCCATCCATGTTCAACCGGTATGTTTACTAAACTTCCAAAAGCTATAGGCTAGACTATGAGTAAAGTGTCTGCAGGGACAACGTCTTGCAATTAAAATTAAAACATTTAAATAAAACTCATTCTGAAAGTGTACCAGAAAGCAGATGTCATAATAGTTAGGAGCCATTTAGGTTTAGGCTCACTCGGCTGTTGATGAATGAGGGGAAGTATCGGAGATACAGGTACCTGAATACCTTAAATGACGAACTTGTCAAAATAAGGGGAACACTCTTGGCTGTCATGCATTCTGTAGCTTATCATCAGATATGATAGCACAGGCTAATTTGAGAATTCAGGACCGATTGTTGACAATACAACATTGATTCTGAGGGGAAACCAACCACTCTCAATGGTGTTGATAAGCAAGGTGGGTAGGGTCCTTCCTGGCTATTTTAGGTAAGTGATTGGAGGCAGACCACCTTATCTGTGAATAGCAGAACACTATCAGCTGACTGGAGGCATGTGATTAAGGAAACTAATAAGATTTGGACTTGTGTTCTTTTTGGCCAAGAAAGTATCAGGCTGAAGGTAATAAGCGATCAGTGTGGGTGCTGCCTGATTGATAAGGTTGTAGCCATCTACAGTACCTGGATGTGGGCTTCATTGATACCCTTCATTGTGTATTGCTTTTCGGGTTTGACCTGTACATACATTACCGGTCAAAAGTTTTAGAACACCTACTCATTCAAGGGTTGTTCTTTATTTTTACTATTTTCTACATTGTAGAATAATAATGAAGACATCAAAACTATGAAATAACACATATGCAATCATGTAGTAACCCAAAAAAGTGTTAAATCAAAATATGAGATTCTTCAAATAGCCACCCTTTGCCTTGATGACAGCTTTGCACACTCTTGGCATTCTCTCAACCAGCTTCAACTGGAATACTTTTCCAACAGTCTTGAAGGAGTTCCCACATATGCTGAGAACTTGTCGGCTGCTTTTCCTTCACTCTGCGGTCTGACTCATCCCAAACCATCTTAATTTGGTTGAGGTCGGGGGATTGTGGAGGCCAGGTCATCTGATGCAGCACTCCATCACTCTCCTTCTTGGTAAAATAGCCCTTACATAGCCTGGAGGTGTGTTTTGGGTCATTGTCCTGTTGAAAACCTCAAATTCGGACCTCCAATTTGGAGATGTGTCTGTTACTTGAACTCTGTGGAGCATTCATTTGTGCTGCAATTTCTGAGGCTGGTAACTCTAATGAACTTATCCTCTGCAGGAGAGGTAACTCATGAGAGCCAGTTTCCTCATAGGGCTTGATGGTTTTGCGACTGCACTTGAAGAAACTTTCAAAGTTCTTTAAATGTTGCGTATTGACTGACCTTCATGTCTTAAAGTAACGATGGACTGTCTTTCTCTTTGCTTATTTGAGCTGTTCTGGCCATAATATGGACTTGGGTCATTTATCAAACAGGTCTATCTTCTGTATATCACAATACTGGCATAACCTCAGTGGTAGAGCATACTTCAGTGCTGATAGATGTTGAGAGCTGGTGACCAAATGAAGATCAGCAGTCTATGTTAATTGATGACTATCTGGTCAGACTATTGCATTGCTGTCAAAACAGACTGACAGCCACCTCATTCCCTTTGTCGACATCATGCATTTGTACCTAACTGGTAAATTGGTTAAATAGAATGTTGAGACATAATACAGTAGGGGAAGGGTTGTAAGGCGAGAATCCTGGCGTCCTGACTCCAGGCTGGAATACTATCATTTTTCATAGCTAGAATTCCACCTTGTAAGCTAATAGCAGAACTCAAATGCAAAACGTTGTCTTATTCAAAAAGCTATAAACAAAATGCCTGTTCAAACAGTGCATCAATGAAGGCACCCAAACTTCACACACGCAACAGGTAGGGCCATAGAAATAACTAGAATCATTCAATTTCTATGGGTTGGGCTAGATACTAGTCCGCCCAGCTAGCTTCTTAGCCAACTAGCCTGGCATTGCGTTGCGACATTTTTCGCTGTGACATGGGTTGGATTAAAAGTGACATGGTCATTTCAGTGACAATTTTACACAAGCAAATAGACTATTTAGTTGTTAACCCACACAGTTGAAACATCAACAACTTTAGTTCAACCTGATGTGAAATGCTCTATTATGCTAGTTTACTAGGTAGCATAAACTTTAAAAGCTCGCGCTAGATAATGCTAGCATGCTAGCTAACGTTAGCTTCCTGGCAACCTGTTGCAAACAATGCCACCCCAAAACACATAGGAAATGGAAGAGAACTACTCACTTTTTCCCGCAACGGTGTCGAAAATATATACTTCATTGAGGTGTCCAATGTTATTCCATTTGTTTTTGTATCAATTGAGTGAAGAAAGACTCAACTTTGCTAACTTTGTGCCACAATATCAGTCGAGATCCTCTCTCCCGCCGTAGCTTGCATTATTAGGAATAATTTCCAACTCAAGGGTTGAGACGTCAAGGGTCTCCCATTTGCTCCACAGCGCCCCAAGTAACGTTACATTCATGAAACAATGTTCGCGATTGGTCAATGCTGCTCACAGGATCCTAAACAATGATATATCTTGTCCAATGAAAGATTACTTTATATCTATAAAGTGACAGGGTGAATTAAATGAAAAATGCAGTGTTTTTATGCAAAGCTTTTTGCTGAAATCAAGGCAATCAAATCAAGGACCAATGCTGTAGAAATAAATATTATATTATGTACTCTATGTAGCGTAGAATAAAATAAAATAGTTCGATTTTTCCAAGAGGACATAAATAAGAGACTGAACTAATCGTTTTACATAATGATCAAGGATTTTTTATTTTTCATCAGTTTCATCAATATCGTTACAGAAATGTTTTATAGTACAGAGTTCAATATCTCCTCATTGCTTCATTAATTTCTTTAGGAGTGCTGGTCACCATAACATCTGTACAATATCACTTTTTTATTAATTAATTTTTCTGTACATTGTTTTAATAGTTGTTAAAAAGGCAGTCAGCACTTTAAATAAGCTGTTTCTTCCTTCTGAAATTAAACAAATAAAAGAGAAAGTTCTCTCCCTACCCCAGTTCCCTCATCTATCTGTACTAGTGTGTGTGAGGTGAGCAGTCCTGGAGGGGTGAGGGTGGGGGGGAGAGAGGTGGTGTTGGTAGAGTAGAAGGGCATGTGGAACCAGAGCCAGAATATACATATCTCTGTGTGGGACCAGGTGAGGTTAGACTGATGAAGCTAGTGGGCCACTGCCTTCCTCCGCCTTTAAGGCCTGTATTCATAAAGGTGTAGGAGTGATGATCTAGGATCAGTTTATTTTTTAAAAATCATAATTAATACGATTATATAGACCGGGGGGACCTGGACCTGCATCCACAAAGCATCTCAAATAAAAATCAAATCAATGTTTATTGTTGCGTACACAGATTAGCAGATGTTAAAGCAGGTGAGGCGAAATGCTTATAATCTCAGAGTAGGAGTTCTGATCTAGGATCCGTTTTGCATTTTAGATCATAATTAATAATCCTAGATCAGGACTCCTACTCTGAGATGCTTTGTGGATACGGGCCTTGATCCTTGATCAGCATTCCTACTCAGAGCCACTTTATAAATACAGGACCAGGTCTCATCATGATGCCTGCCACTTTTGGCACTGCGCACATAAACACGACTCACAAGATAAACGACAAGTAAAGCTGTGTGTGAAGCCATTATGAAGCATAATGAAGCCAATATAATGTGGCATAGAAGAGAAGAATACTAAAGGGAGGTAAAGATAGCTGTCACCTAAAGGCACCCTCAGGACCCTGAAAGCACTTCTCCTATCAAGCCAGAGCACCAAGGCTACATCCTGATTCTCCACTCTTTTCCTGTATACTTTCTTGCATGGATTTAGCAACGGTGGAAACTCCCTCCAGCCAATGTGCACACTTCAGGAGAAGGATGGAGAATCAGGACATAGACCAAGGGGGACTTCTGACATTATCTCGAAAGAGTTTTCATTGTAAAAAAAAAAAAAAAAGATGTATTTTTAACCTTTTTGTGAGATAAGAAAATAGGCTTTCTTTTTTAATCCTGTTAAGCACCTACAGCTTCCTATTGAAATGCTACTGCTATCTATCTATAAGGTCTAGGGTTGAACACACAAAGCAATTGCAAGGATGAAAGAGAAACAGAGTTGCTTAATATGATGATAATATAATATTAATAATTATCATAATAATCATGATACTTATAATAATAATATAATATATTACAGAATAAATCTCTTATGTTTTATATATATTTTTCTCCACTTTTAAAAGGTATTACATTTTGTCTTTCTTTGAAATACAATTATCTTTTCAAATTCATATTTTCATGATCAATGTATGTACTCATTTATTTTGTATTCGAGATGTTGATTAATTATACTTGATCAACTTTATTATCCAAATCAATAAAAACTTGCTGTGCCGTTACGTATTACAGAATAGTTATGATATGTGGACATGCACCACTTCCTCTCTATCTATCTGTCCCTGTAAGATGACATCATCATAGTCGTCCTATGACCATCACATCCACAACCTCTCCTTTATGCAGCTCCACGTATTGCTCTGTTTTAGGAGGCAACATCAGCAGCCCATTGGCACTTCTCATGCTCATCAGTCGACTACTCATCTGATTTCCTGTAGAGGTGGAGAGGGAGAAAGAGAGAGAGAGAAAGAGTGAGAGAGAGGAGAGAATGAAGGAGAGGGTGGTTAGAAAGGGGGGAGGGGACAAGAGGGGGAGGAGGGTGGGGAGACAGAGAGAGAGTCTATAACATGGCAAGGATAAACTTTCTGATAAGCATTTTCCCTTATCCATTATTCCATGCAAACATGCTGACAAACTATTGTGTATTTACTTAGTATGTGATAATACCTGTGCTCTGTGCCCATGGCAGAGGCTCCTGGTGGTGCCATGTCAGGATGCAGCGGTGGTACTCTGGACGAGGGTCCAACTTTACATCACAGGACAGCTGTTTACACACACAGGAGAGAGCAGGGAGCAGAATGATGACATCACACTCAAATTTAAACCCCAACGTATTTGCATTAAAGCTATGTGTATAAAACCCTCTCCAGCTCTCCCTCGAACTCCCTAACTTATGCAGCAAGCTCAAAGGACACACATATCTGGCTCCAAGGACCATGAATGCAAGGTGGCACGCTTTTTCATTTTGTGCCTGTATTTCACCCGTGTCCAGACTAGGTTGAAGATAGAGAAGGTTAAGACAACCTAATAATTCCATGCAGATGCGTTAGAAAATAACTACATTCATTGGACCAGCGCCAGAGCGAAAATGACTGGAATTGAATGCTAGCAGTACAGAAAGTTTGCCATCAAAGTAGAAAATAAACACAATTGTAGTGAATTTCAGCTAACTACTCAGCAAACATATGGCACACATATTTACATAAGTATTCAGAACCTTTACTCCAGGACTGCCCAACCCTGTTCATGGAGAGCTACTGTCCTGTAGGTTTTTGCTCCAATCCTTATCTAGCACACCTGATTCTAATAATTAGCAGGTTTATAAGATTAATCAGGTTAGTAACACCTGGGGTTGGAGCGAAAACCTACAGGAGGGTAGCTCTCCAGGAACAGGATTGGGCAACCCTGCTTTACTCAGTACTTTATTGAAGTACCTTTGGCAGCGTTTACAGCCTAGAGTCTTCTTGTTTTTGCTCTGACATGCACTGTCAACTGTGGGATCTTATATAGACAGGTGTGTGCCTTTCCAAATCATGTCCAATCAATTTAATTTACCACAGGTGGACTCCAATCAAGTTGTAGAAACATCAAGGATGATCAATGGAAACAGGATGCACCTGAGCTCAATTCCGAGTCTCATTGCAAAGGGTCTGAATACATTTCTTAAAACCTGTTTTTGCTTTTTCATTATCGGGTATTATGTGTAGATTGATGAGAGAAAACAATTATTGTATCCATTTTAGAATAAGGCTGTAACGTAACAAAATGTGGAAAAAGTCAATGGGTCTGAATACTTTCCGAATGTACTGTAAATGTTTTTCTAATGATCTACAGACACTTTATTACTTGATTTCCTAACCGCTGGTCACGTTTTCAATGTTAATAGTTTAGAATCAGCAACAGCGCTGTTCCAATTTCTAACGCTGCCGCATTTAATTATTACACTGTCTTAACCTGTATTTTTTTGACCTAGTGTCCAGAAACCCTCCATAACAGCCAGTGCTGTTAACTTACCCTGGCTTTGATAATGGTGGGCCGAGGGTCCAGGATCCCCTGCATCTTCCTCAGAGCAGGGATGACGAAGAGGTTACAGGTGACGACAGCAGACACTGGGTTACCTGACCAACAGAGAGAGAGGTGCTGAGGATGAGAGGGAGACAAGGAGGGGACATTACCACTGTTCAGGGCTGAGGAGGGAGACGGCAGGATAGGCCTGGGAAGGTTTGGACGGGTTGGGGTTGAGGAGCATTGTTGTTGTTGACATGCTCCAGCTAGTAGCCCCTGTAGGACAGGACAAGGGCTCAGTGCATAGGGCAGTGGTTTTCTTCACCCCACTGGTCTGTCAGTATGGGGGCCAGGCTGCGGCTGGGGACCTGGGCTGGGGCTGGAGGAATGGGGAGGTAGACAGTGAGACATGTACGCTTCTGCCTTTTAACGTTTTCACAGAGGAGGGACTGGTGGGTGAGAGCTCTTGAGAGTGGGACAAGTTTGTGAGTGCTATCTCTTTACACCAACAAGCAGCGGTGAGGGGTAGCAATATCAGGGGGAGAGGGTGAGCGGCGCTCTCAAATCACAACAACAAGCAACAGCATGGAATCATGGGATAGATACTCACAGGGGCAGGGACTTGGGGACATACTGAGAAACAGAACGAGGAGCGACAGAACCAACAGCAACACCACAGAAACGTTAAAGAAACAAAACAATATTTATCTCTCAGAAAACAGAACAGAAAATCACATAAGTAAAGAAAAACTCAAGTTTATTTTATGTTTTGTTAAGATTCAAGTTTGGGTTCACTAAAAGGTGTAGTGATCTTGTTTAGTTTAATAACCACTAGAAAAACTGACAAAAATTCCCCCAAACATGCCCAAAGTCTGGGAGACAAAAATACAAAAAATAAAATGTATCCATTTGGCCTGATAAAAAGTTTTTTAGATAATTTGAAGCCCATATAATTTGAGTTGGGTCGAGTTTCAGTTAAGCACTCTTAAAGAAAAAACACATTTCCCATTTTCAGTTTAAATTCCGTTTTCTGAGCTCAGGTGAAGTAAGCTTGCTTTCAGGTAGAGAGCAGCACACTGAACGGTACAGTATGGTCAACCAGGTTGGTAGCACCTACTTCCGCGCGGGGGCGGTGGCACGGGCACCCTGCTTGCCTCACTGTCGGGCACAGGGTCGATGCGAATGGCGCCTGTGTCTCTGAAGGTGAAATTACCTTAAAGGGGGAATATAAAAAGAGTGGCGGTCACCACAGCCACAGACTAGCCGTCCGGACATATGTAGGACGGGCAGAGACAAGGCAGGGGTGCTGGGGCAGGTTGGCAATAGGACGGGCAGAGGCAGGGGGCCTGGGCAAGGGACTAAGGAGTCCTGGGCTGGGGCCTATGGAGAGGTGTGGAGTGGCCAGGTCGAATGCTAGGAAAGTAGAGGGACAAGAGGCTGTTGTCAGCAGGCTTGAGTAAGAGAGGAGGCAGGGCACTTTGATTGGTTGGGTGGGTCAAATAGGGGTCAAATTTCAGGTTTGGTTTGGATGGGGGTCAGGGTTGGCTGCGGTTTGAGTTTTTGGGCTGTGTGAGTCTGAGATAAAACACAGGAGCATGGTTTTGGAGGGCTTATATAAAAATACCAACACACACAAACATGGTTATAATACTAATTACAACTCATTTACAAAATGAAAATGATCAATCAGAGAGAATAGAAATGGCTGCTGTGGGTTGGAAGGGTTCCAAGATGCTGTGGAAACTGAAAGGGGAGTGTGATTAAAGAGAAACATTACCTCTGTCTGAGGGCATGCTGCTGGATTAATATAACATGTTTCCCTCAAGGAAACATATATTTGGTTGGTAAATGGTGGCGTTTTGGACTCAGAGCAGAGACACAGATAAGTGCCTGAGATCTCAGTCAAGACCAGCGGTCCCCTGCCAGTCCTGAGACTCAACAACAACATTTATACACACAAACACACACAACATACAGTACACACAGTACACACACTGTACACATGACATGCAGATCTCATCAAGACATACCTGGTAGAGCAAATATCAGTTTCCGTGCCCCGTCAATGTCTACAGTGGCGAACGTGGTGGGAAGACTAAAGAGGAGAGATGACAAACTCAGTGAGACCTTCCATGATGGACTATCCAACTCTTCTAAACCATCCTCACTTAATTAATTAAGAAGGCATAAACTTTGAATAACCCCATCACGTCTCACCCTGGCTTCATAAAGACCCGTCCAAAGTGGATCTGGGCATGGAGGTCAATGTCCAGCACCTGCTTCAGGTAGTCCTGAAACGCAAAGAGATTCATTGTATGTTATTGTACTGTATTTACAGTGTATTCCATGCCGATAAAGTTAACTGAATCGACTTTGATATTGCCAGGAACACATGGGAGAGGATTAAACTTCTAATCGAATGGAAACTTTGTGCATCTTTAACATGTCTGCCGGTCTCTGACAGATGGTGAGGTGTAAATATGTGATCCAATAACATAAATAATTGGAGCAGAAAACCCAGCGAGGGAAGCAGAGAACTCAGCTAAGCAGTAAACATTCAAAAGGTCAGCCAAACCAGCCGCTTCATCACCAAGGAGTACCAGCTGGGTCAGAACAACAGATGGCAGCAGAGTGCATGAGCTGGACAGTACGTGAGGTTCAACATAGAAAACAAACTGTTGTGGTGAATTCCAAAACGAGTTCTAGCCCCTACTACCTAGCCGTGATGGAATTGATTTAGCTCTCTCAAACACAATGACCTCTCGCAAAAATGTCCATCCAAATGAGCTTGCTGCCCTACCTCTCATCCCCTTCTCTTTTTTATTTAAACATTTCATTTGGATTGGATCTTACCTTCTCTCCCATGGACACGCCCCCTGAGGTGATGATGACATCAGCACGGCTGATGCCCTCGTTCAGGGCGTTGAGGAGGTCATCTGGGCTGTAGGGGAAAGGTCATAGTTCAGACCCTCCCATCTTTTTGATCGTATATATCTATCTACAGTTTTGCAGACACAGATTTAGCCTAGTCCTGGACTAAAAAGCACTTTCAGATTCCGGGACTAGGAGTAATGTGCGTCCATGAAACCAGCCCAATGTTTTCTAGGAGGGTAGACAAGCCAATTGTTATTGGGGGTTATGATTGAGTTATGTTCACTGACTTGTCTCCGACGATGCCCAGGTTGATGGTAGGGTATCCGTGCTCCTGAATGGTGGCCAGCAGTGTAGATCTGTTACTGTCCCTGATCTTCCCTGGGTGCAGGTCATCCTCTGGGTTCAACAGCTACACACACACACACACACACACACACACACACACACACACACACACACAAAGAAGAAGATTACATAATTATCCATTGTCTATTGGAAACCATCTCACATCCTGCAAGATCTTCCCAACAGACCTGGGATTTGACCCAGCAATCGGTTGCCGCCTTACACGCCTCTCTAACCTCAAACCCAGGTATTAAAGACACCATGAGAGAAGACAAAATGTGTGTGCATGCATGCGAGCGTGCGTGCGTGTGCTCACCTCGTTGCCAGTGGACATGACAGCCACCACAGGGAACTTCTGCACCTCCACCTCAGTGACTCCTACGGTGGCCAGCAGGCCGATCTCAGAGGGGCCCATGTGGGTTCCCTTGGACAGGACACACTCCCCACGCTTTATATCATGACCTATAGGCCTGGAGGGAGGGGAGACAGAGATATAGATGACTGTGTGGTATAGTACTGATACAGAACAGCATTAAGGAACATTTGAATTTCAGTTTACATCCTGAATTGACTGGATTTAAATGGAATTGACCCCACCAGCCTGATTGGTACAACCTAAAACTTCTCGCTCACCTGATGTCCTGTCCAGGCCGTGCCTGTACCAAGATCCGCACCTCCAGCTCTTCTGTGCCCTGCAACGACAAACAGGTTAGTGAAGAAAATACAGTACAGTATATTGTAAGGAAGAGGATTGTGGCAGATGAGTAAGTCTATGTACAACATAGAAAGGCTGTCCGTTTGTGGAGAGGAGGTACAGGAGACAGATGAGAGAGTGTTGAGGGAAAAGGGGAGTGAGTTGAGAAAGAGAGAGGAGAGAGACAGATTGTATGTTATTGTATTGCATTTGTATAGTGTATTCCAATAAAGGTTGTTGTGATAATTGAGATGGGGACAGGAAGTTGTCATAGGTCATGGTTGACTCACGTCCTCAGACTCTCGGAGCAGTTCAGTATCCTCCACCTGCACCACAGCATCCGCCCCACAGGGGATAGGAGCCCCCGTTGTCACCCTCATCACCTGGCCCGGCATCACTGTGTGGGTGGGCTACAGGGACACACACAGGTTGGACATTATAAAGGTGTTAAACATGCTAATGGAAAGTCTTTTAAGGCATTATAGCTGCATCATAATGCATTATAACTGCCGGCATGGAGTAGTGTTATCAACATTTCAATTGGGAAAATCAATCGACTGTATACCATTTTCACAAGATACACTTGAGCTACTCTTGAACACGAGGCTCCATAATGGAGGCTGTGTGACAATTGTAAGAAAGCCGAGTGGAGTGTTGCAGAGACAGGGTCTGTGTGTAGAGCAGAGCTCTATATAAAACTCTGTGTAGAGGTAGAGAGAGGACATGGTCCGTCTCTGTGGAGAGTCTTGTAATCACAGCTGAGCCAGTGACCTGTGTAACTTCACATTGCAGGATAGCCCAGGTGAATACTCTGACTCACACAGAGGTAGGAAAAGGGAGGGGAGTTCTTATTATAGTATGTTCTCAAAGCAACACTCCAGAATATCAGGGCTCACAAACTGTAAGGAGCTCACCTGCTGTCCTGCCTGTGACTCTCCAATGATGAAGCGATCTCCAGGACCATCAGCCGCTGAGAGGGAGAGAGAGAGAGAGAGAGGGAGAGAGGGAGGGATGGAGATGGGGAGAGCGATAGCAGGAGAGAGCGAGAGAACAGTAAGACATAAATAGCTGAAAAGGCTGCAATGGTCAAAGACACAAAAACAAGCACTGATACTAAAGTCTAGCATTGTAATCTCTCAAACTCCTAAACTGTACACCCACTAGTCCTGGCATCTCACCTCGCACGGCGTAGCCATCTTTGACTGATGCAGGGAATGGAGGCAGGTTGTCTTTGGCATAGACGTCCTGCGCTAAGACTCGACCCATCCCATCTACAATAGTAGAGTAAAGTACAGTAGAGTAGAAATAGGAGAAAGGTAGGAGGGAAAGACGGAGAGTAGAAAAAAAGCTTGTCATTTCACACATCAATTGGAGGAGTACACAAGATGTGACATGCATGCTGGCGGGGTAGGCTGTGTCCCTCTATGTTTTGGTTAATGTGTGTGTGTGTGTATGCAGTGCAGTGCAGTGAGGATGGGCCAGAGAACACATAAAGTTATAACCATGCTGCCACACAATCTGTTGACAACAGCACAGACAGACGATGGTAGGACAAGACAGAGTGTCGAGTAGGTGTTGTTGAACGTGAAGAAGACAAAATCGAGACAGGCCTACATCACATGAAACCCTTGCTAGATGTGTGTGTGT